GAAAGAATGGCTGCTATCATGAAATCAACCAATAACAAATGCTGGTGGGGCTGTGGGGAAAGAGGAACACTGCTCCACTGCTGGTGGGAGTGTAGACTGGTACAACCGCAGTGGAAATCAGTATGGAGATACCTCAAAGAACCAGGACTGACGTCCCATTTGACCCAGCTATTCTCCTGCTGGGTATCTTCCCCAAAGAATTAAAAGAATCAGGGCCAGGGGTTTAGCTCAGTGGTTCTGCTTCCTGCCTCGCAAGCACAAGGTCCCAAGTTCGATCCCCAGTACCAAAAAAAAGAATCATACCACAGTGATATATGTGCACTCATGTTCATAGTAGCACAATTTATAATAGGTAAAACTTGGAAGCAGCCCAATTGCCTATCGACTGGAGGCTGGATAAAGAAAATGTGTTTTTAAAAATAAAATAGAGTACTACCCATCTGTAAAAAATGAGAAATTACAGACATTGATAGCTAAATGGATGCACATTGAGGCAATACTCTTAAGTGAAATAAATAGGACACACATATGTAAATACTGAATAGTTTCTCTGGTGTGAAAAACTGAACGTATAAATAAGGACCTAAAGGTATAATATATATATAATAATGTATAATAATTATATATAATGTATATAATGTGAAATAGGAAGAAAAGGGGCAAAGGAGAAGGGGAAGTGGGAGGGGTAGGGGAAAGGAACGAAGGGAATGGAATTAATATGAGAAAATGAAAAATGGAAACAAAGTCTTTGTAAATAGGGAGGGATGGAGGTTTGAAGGGAGGGCAGGGGAATGGGAAAAAAATAAGAACTAAGATAGAGTATGTTAAGGTGCAAATTTCCAATGCTGAATGTCATTATATTGTATACCTAAAATGTACCAATAAAATTAATTTTTAAAAATCTTCTGTCATTACTACTGAGTGGCTCTGGAGATATTTAACCCTTTTTATGCCTCACACCTGTGTCTAGAAAATGGAAATAACAGTACTGACCAGACATGGTACTGGTACAGATTAAGAATGTGTACATCTCTCTTAAAATAGTGCCTAGCATATAACAACCTCAACGTGTAACATATTCAAACAAAAGGCTTATTTTGAGAACATAATAAAGTATACATATATAGCTAAAATATCATCTTATTTAATATGACTTTAGAAACCATTTATTTTCCCTTCTTTTAAGACTCAAACAGCTGAAAATAATAAGCCTTTTCTCTCTGGAAAGAGTATCAAGTCTTATTCTATGCAATATAATCTATAATTACCTTACATTTTTAAAATCTCAGACTGTGTCCTAGTTCTATAGAAAATAACTTACATACACGTCAAAATTTAGAATTAATTAAAAGTTTCTTCTTTGAAAACTCATTTATTCATCAAAATATTCACTTGCAAATTATGAAAAAGTTGTATACAAATGAATACCTAGACTTACCAAAAATAAACTATTTTAGCATTCACAGCAGACCACTGTAGATCAATATTTAAATACCAAACCTAAATATCAAGAGACAGAAAATGCGAAGCAGAAATCACCTCAGGTATTAAATTTCACTTTCAAATGTAAGGGATCTCATTTTCAAAGTACAGGGAGTTATGGCATTTGGGGCATGAAAAGACACTTCACAGAGAAATTCATTAGATCCTTCACTGGGATTTTGAAAGCTTGTGAAGAAACCACATTGCCATTTTATTTGAAATTGAATTAAAAAATGAATATAAAACCAATGATTACCAAGAGCCAAAATTAGAATTAGACTGGATTAACTTCTAATTTCAAGTTTTGGCCTTTGAAGATACATACCTGTACATTATTATTAATCATCTGCATAATACAAAATTTTCAAAAGTGCCCTTATTCCTGTGTGTAAGTCCAATTTACATTACGTGAAATTATATAAAATTTGTCACTGTCATTACACATTTGAAAATAAGATGTAATACATTCAAACATGGCTTATTCTGTGTTTTTGGAACTTGAGACCTACTTTCCAAGTCCTGCCTTTGGTCTGGGAATGCCAAGGAAATTGGAAATAGAAACTTCAACTCTGCATACCTGATGTTGGCTCAATAACAAAGGCTTGGTGAGACTGGATCAAAGTGACTTGGAACTCAAAATCCACAGGGCAGGTGCACTGCAAAGGAATAATGTAAGTTTTGCTGCAAGATAAACAAAAAAAATGAGCATATTATTTTTCTTAATAACTAGTTCTTCTGGTAGCAAGCAACAGGGATTCAATTTGTATAATAAACGACAATGATGACAGCCAGGTCGATCCAGCACTTCTCATGGGCCAGGAACTACACATTTCTCATGTAATAATTGTTTTGATTCCATGAGGTATATTATGATTATCCTCACAAAAGAGGAAACTGAGACACAAGAGAGAGTAACTGTTCTGCACAAGGTGGCATGGCTGGTTTGTGGTAGAACCTGACGTGACCCAGGTTGACTGTTCTCGGCATCCATATCCCCAAGACCATTGTTCTTGCAAGCCTCTTGAGTGCTGTTGGGTTGATATTGCAGACTCAGAGCATGGAGAAGAAGCAATCCTACTACAGCAGGGGCCTCAGGAACCTAGGAAATACTAAATAGATGGGCCTAATGGAAAGCTAGGAGAGCCCTTTGCCTTCACATCCTGGGACCAGACAGTGCTGAAGAAACAGTGTTGGTTGTATTGTATTGAAATATGCTACAGACAGTTCAGTTAGAAGTCCAGCAGTCATGAGTGAGCACAGAGAGGGTCTGTGTATGCAGAAATGCTCTAGCACCCCAAAACGAAGCTGACTTCCAAGCTGTGTATGCAGAAATGTTCTAGTACCCCAAAACAAAGTTGAGTTCCAAGGAAGCTTGCGGCTGTCAGGTATAGCAGCAGAGGTGCTGTGGCAGAGGTTGCATTTCTCAGAGAGCCGTGTATTTCCCATAAGGTGCCTTCTTCCACTAGGGCAAGGCCAGGTCAGCTGGAGATTGTGGGATGAGTGAGGCCTGGGGAGGCAGAACTCTGCAGTGTCTACTTGGCTCCTACATAGTCCTGGAGGCAGGTTATCTGGCTCCCTTTTAGAAGCAGTTTACAAGCTACACCCTGCATTCCTGCCTTTCTCTGCACCTTGGCCCATATCCACTAGCCACCAGCCAACTTCTTCATCTTCAACTCCAGGCATCTCTTCTCTACTACACAACTCCTGAGCCCTCATGGCCCATCACAGCCCTTCATGGTTCCCCTGCCACCTGGTTGGTCTCCACAAGCTTATGCTTCCACTAGTAGCACAAGAGAGTTTCTGGAGCTTTACAATATTTAGAATTTTCAGACATTTTCATTTCTGTTAACCTGATGAAGATGACATGGTATCACATGTTATTACAATCCTCTCTTCTTTGAAGTTGAGCTTCTATTACTGTGCATCCATTTAGATTATCTCTTCTAGGAATTGCCTGTGCATATCCTGTGTTCATTTTTAAATTCGGTTGTTTGGGTCAATTATTCATTTGTAAATTCTCATATTAGTTTTTGTATATTATATTGCATTGCAAATGTCTTTTCCAACCCATAATTTATCTTTTATTTATGATGTCTGGTTGAACAGAAGTTTTTAATTTTAAATTAGTCAGCATTATCAATCTTTATTTTGGAAAGAACTAAATCTGTTCCAAACTTATGAACATGGCTTGCCTCTAATTTAGTCATTTTTGTTTGTTTGTTTGTTTTTTTGGGTATTGGGGATCGAACTCTGGTCCTTGCGCTTGTGCAGCAGGCAGCGAAACCACTGAGATAAATCCCCGGCCCTAATTTAGTCAGTTTTAATTGTCTTTCAATCAAACTTTTTAAGTTTCTCCATAGTAAGCTTGTACATTTTGATTAGATTTTACCCTCTAGGAGTCTTGGTTTGTTAGGCTGCTATAACAGAAAACCATAGACCGAGTGGCTTATAAACAACAGAAATTCATTTCTTTAGTTCTGGAGGCTGGTATATGTCCAAGATCGAAGTGTTAGCAGGTTCATGGTGCCTGGTGAAGGTCCGCTTCCTGGTTCCTAGATGGCCACCTTCTCAATCTTCTCATGTAGGGCCAGGGGCCAGGAAGCGCTCCCAGGCCTCTTTTGTAAGAACATTAATCTCATTCATGCTCCCTTAGTCTGCTGTCATGGCCTAATCACCTCCCAAAGGCACACCATCACCTTGGGGGTTAGATTACAGCATTTGCATTTTGGGGGACACAAACATTTAGACACATCCTGCTTAATATGTGAATGCTTGATTTAAAGTTGCATATTATTTTGGAGCACTATCAGCTATTATTTCTCTGCTATTCCCTTCATTCTGTTCTATGGAACTCTTTTGTTTTCTCTTTCGTTCTTTTTGCAGGGTTGGAGATTGAACTCAGGGCTTTGAACATGCTTGGCACATGCTTCACCACTGAGCTACTGCCCCAGCCCCCTGACAGAACTTTTATTAGAAATATAGATGGAACTTCTGGGTCTAGATTCCATACCTCTTAATTTCCTTTCCTTTAAAATTTAATCTCTGTGAGGGCTGGGCATTTGGCTTAATGGTTCCGCTGCCTGCCTCACAAGGACCTGAGCTTGATCCCCAGTACCAAAAAATAAAAAAAATTTAATCTCTATGATATATTATGGGTAAAATCCTCAGTACTCCTTTAAATTTATTAATCTTTTCATTACCTATGTCAAGTATAGTTTTTATGATCTATTGAGATTTTATTTTTTATTTGTATTTTTTCTGAGTATAAAATATTTTCTATTTATTACAAATATAGAAAGATTAAACTGAAAAGTACAACATAGCTGATAACTTTGCCAGTGAGGGGTCACAGTGTGTACTTTAGCCTGTTGCTTTAAAATCATTTTCCTGAATATTTTATACAGTTTTGAAGAAAAAGACTATTCTATTTTGTGTATGGGTATAAATATGCACAGTAGAAAATAAGAGTTATATATGGAAATATGGATGGTCAAGAAACTTTATCAAAAACCAAGTTACAATACTACATATCTAGAGTGTGATAATGTTATATTATTTATATATACATATACATATATATAAACACTTCCAAAAATATGTGTTACTTATGCTTACACTGCATATTCATACATATGTAGGTATACATATATTAAATATATACATATAAAATAATGCAATGTAAAATACAGTGCTACGTTATTTATAATTTCCTTTAAATAACAGTACAGTTATACATGGCACAAAGTTATATTATCTTTCTACCCTATAAAAGGTTAATGAATGTTTATTTCAGTTTTGCTTTTCATATTCAGCTAAAGCATCTGCAAGGCTTTGAAACAGTCAATTAGTTACTAGTGTAGATTGTTAAGAAGTGGCACAAAGGCAGACATATAATGATGTTCCCTAATGTGGAGTCCTAGAGTAAAATATTAATATTTTAAATTTTTCTTAATCTATTAGTAGCAAAGATATTAACTGCTAACTCCATAATTTAGTAAATTTAAGAAAAATAACAATAATCTATGTTTGCAGATTATGTGTAGGAAGGAAGATACAAAAATGACTTAAGATGGAATGCTATATTCTCAAATTAAAAAAATGAAATCGTTTTTAAAAAATTATTCTTCTTACAAGTGTACTAAAAGTTGGGGGAGAGAGGCCATGGCCAGAGTGATCTAGACTAGTAGGGGATAAAAAGGGAGACGTAAGCCCTTTTATCTGATAGTTTGGACATAGCTCAAAATGATTAAAAAAAAAAGAATACATAATAAAAGGAAAAAGGATAAACTAAGATCAACAAATTGCTAGAAATAAATTACATATGTGATAAATGGGACTCCAAATATCAAAGAAACTGTCAGAAAAGTATGGCTTTTTTATCTGTGTAACTGTGGCAATATTTTATAAATACAGTTTCTTTCTGAAATAAATGAAAGGCCTAATACCTTATCTTTCAACATAAAGAGCCCATATCTTTCTGTAGTGAAATGATAACATTGTATGCATTATTTTCTACCTTTTCATTTTTTCAAAGAAGTTGGAAAAAATGAAAAATGTTTTGTGTAGACTTGTCAGGTGCAATTTTATTGAAGGAGCCAGCTATATATATTTTCATTAAAAAGAGTTTGTCAGATGTCAATAAAACTTTCGAATTCTCAAACAAAAATACAAGTTCTCTACGTAAATTGCTCTGATTAGCAAAATGTCATTCAGGTAACATATAATAATTCTAGTTTGCTTAAATCTGTTGAAAAATTGAAATATATCCAGGCAGGCTACCTGCCTATTTATTCTTTCTCAGAAAATTGTTCTCTAATTTACCGGTGGATCAAAATTGGCTAAGAAGTTAATAGATAAACATCACATCTGCGCCTTGGGGGTTAGTGAGGGTTGGTGGTGGCCAGTGTCCTCCAGTTGTCTCTGCACTTTCTTTGGTTCCTTGTCCAGCCCACCGTTCCATCTCTCCTGAGTTGGTTGTCTCCCTAGGGTCACCTAAACGTCCTCGGGCCCACGATGCTCCTGCAACCGTGCTGTCCCTCTAGGGAGAGCCACAACTTCTAAACTATCTCCCACTGGCTCGCAGGACAATGCCCATCGCTTGCCTCAGAGAGCTCTTCAGAGTTTACAGTTTAAGCAAAGTTGTAAAAATATTGGAAGGGCAGATGCAGTGGCACACGTGTGTCCCAGCTATAAGGAGAAGCCAGGAGGACCACGTGAGTCAGGAGTTCGATACTGGCTAGGACAACAAAGCGAGACCTGTTGAGGTCCCAAGTCATGCGGAACACGCCGAATCAGCCCGCTGCAGACAGGCAGGTCTGCACACCTCTATTGAGATTTTAAATGTCAGTGTCTAATTGGTTCTTCTTATCTACTTGATCACTTATATTTCTGCCCCTTTTCTGAGATAAGATCTCACTAACCTGCCCAAGCTGGCCTTGAACTTTTGGTCCTCCTGCCTTAGCCTCCCTAGTAGTAGCTTGGATTACAGATATGCACCATGCTCTTTCCACCTATTTTTGCTTCATAATTTCTTGATTTTTTAAATAAAAATTTGCTTCATTTTTCTCCTCGAAGGTTTTAAATGGACCCATTTCAAAGTCTTTATCAAGTGTTTAAAAATTCATTTCACTCAATTATATTCTGATGGTTGGGTTTGGGCTTTTTTTTTAGCATGAGATTTA